TAAGAGTTTTACTGCACTTGCAACTGCATAAAGTCATATGTGAGTGTGCGATTTTGTTCTTTGTATTATTTATTGTTAAGTGCGTTGCACACTTTTTTAGTGGAAATGTGCCATTACATAAGTAACATCAATTATTATTATCATTATCATTTTGGTCATAAATTGGGTGCATTTGATGAAAAACGTGGCCAACTGTCAATCAAGATACTGTTATAATAGTGAGTCTAATGACATTGCCAGGTCAGATCTTTTATTTGCAAATGGAATGCAATAATTCAGGCTCAAATTTGATAATGCAGCACAGACGTCTTTTTGATACAAGGTACACTGACCAGTAGCAGTTCCTAATCTGATCATGTTGGATCACACACATCATGCAGATTGGGTCTACTTGACCAATGGACGTCTATTCTTAAGGGGGGGGGGGGGCTACACCTGAAGGCTATCTCGCTTATTAGTGGATCAAATTTCACACATATGGAACAAGCAGAGTAGGAAGTCTTGAAATACCCAATCAAATTTGAGAAAAAAGTTTGTTTCCATGGCTACGGCCGCCATATTGGATTTTATTGACATGTCTTACGCCAAAAATACCGCACTTATTGTTCATGGAAATAGATTGTTTTTTTTACGTGCATTTTAGCAAACATAAGATCAACAAATTTATGTGTTGAATTTTTCCTAAACGTAGTAGAGAATTTTTAATGAATTTTTTCCTGAGGTAGTATTCAAGTTTGCCAAAAATCCATGAAAATCCGTACTCCAGACACCACTAACTAAAATCTATTCCATATACTAGGAGTTCAACAGATAGATTTTTAGTATTACATCTTCTCTTCATTCTGTGAAAATTTCATAAAGATTGGATGAAAAATGGTGGAGTTATTTTAAAAAGTATATTGAAAAGATGCGTTCTGAGAAAACGGGCGATAAAGAAAAATAAAAGATTGATTTTATGAAGACATGGTGATGACAAACATGGCCGATATGGAAAGAAGTAAGGCTTTAGGGAAAATCTAATGCTATGAAATAGTTGTAAGAGAGGCTGAAGAAGCTAGAAATGCCTACAACTCAAAATCCATATTTTTTAGCCGAATCGGGACTTTTGTGGTGTAACTCCCCTCCGACACGTCTTTACACATTTGTTGACTCACAGGAACAGTCCAGTATTGATCTGTCTTTATTAGCAGATCATGACATGGACATCTGTACTGTTGCATGACTTACAAATATGGCAATAGGGCATTGAAGTGAAGGGGTTAATGAGCGGTGGGCAAGATTTTTGTTGCATCGCCAGATACATTTATTATACTATCAGTATACTATCAGTATACCGTCAGCAGACATTACTATGATGAAAGAGAAAGAAAAGCAAAGCCAGGTATTGATCGAGTCAACACGACTAATGTGCTTGTGCCATGGTGCATCATGAACGTTTCAAATTCATTAAAGCCCTCTTTATGTTAATTTATTCTGATCATTTGTAGGGTCCGTACTTTATGTCAAACTCTGAATAGACCCTCAGTCATCTGTTTTGCCATCAAAGTATTCTGACATTGTCAGGGTGTCAGGGTTAGTTTACGACGGCTAATGACCCTAGCCAGCTGTGTTTTCATTTCTGCACCACTTACGACTAACTGAGCTGTTCCCAACATTTCCAAAAGTTACGCGGGTATAGTCGCTGGAAAATACGTGTGAATTCTTGGTATATAGTCTGTGGAAAGTATATGTGTATACTTGGTATATAGTCTGTGGAAAGTATATGTGTATACTTGGTATATAGTCTGTGGAAAGTATATGTGTATACTTGGTATATAGTCTGTGGAAAGTATATGTGTATACTTGGTATATAGTCTGTGGAAAGTATATGTGTATACTTGGTATATAGTCTGTGGAAAGTATATGTGTATACTTGGTATTAGTCTGTTTAAAACACATGCCAATACTTGGTATGTGTCTCTAGAAATAAACATTCAAATACTGGATATTTTGGCTAGAAGCTTCATCTGTTTCCAAACTTCAGACTAGGTGTTTCAAATCTGACTGTTGGATTCTTTTGTCATTCTGTTGTGAAGGATCAATCTAAACATTCTGAGTTGGTGGTATGCGAGAGCTCTGGTGTGGTTTGCTTTTTCTTTCCTATCAAACATTTACCGTCTTTATCTCTCCTCCTTCTTTTTTATGTTTGTTACTCTCTTGTAACACCTCTAATCTTCAGCACTTATATGACTTTATTGTGTTGCAAGTGCCGTAAAACACTTACTAAAACAAACTTCCTGTGTTTGCACTCTTGATATCCTTGTAAAGTCTACAAGCTATATTTTCCTTTAATCTTTCAGTTTATTAGCTCTTTGCATGAAATAAAATACTTTTTTCTTGTTTTTAATATTTTGTCCTTCTCTTATTCTAGCTGCGAAAAATGACAGACTCTAAGAAACTAGCGTGTGAAGCCATTGAGAGGGAGAACAGTGCGCTGCGGGCCCTTAGTCTGGACATCTGGGACCACCCAGAGCTTTGTTTCAACGAAAAACATGCACATGCGGCAGTCACTGACTTTTTGGAGCAGAGAGGGTTCCAGGTGAGAGCGCACATCATCATCATCATCATTGCCCTTTTCGCCCTAGATCAGGATATAGGCCACGAACAAACACTTTCCACCTTTCTCTATCCTGGGCTAGTCGCTTGATGTCACTCCATGTCTTCCCACTTTTCTGTACTTCCATTTCCGTGACTCTTCTCCAGGTTCCGCGTGGTCTTCCCCTTGATCTTTTACCCTGTGGGTTCCAATCTAACACTTTTCTTGTTATGCAGCTGCTCGACTTCCTGAAAGTGTGTCCAATCCATTGCCAACACCTTCTTCCCACCTCATCTGAAACTGGGCTCTGTCTCGTTCTTCTTAATACTTCCTCATTGGTGACCCTGTCTGTCCATCTGATCCTCAGTAGCTTCTTCAGACATCGTTCAAGAAAACCTGGATCCTGTTTATGCTCGTCTGAGATGCGTTCTGTGTCTCACATCCATACAACAGAACTGACTTCACATTTTAGTTGAAAATCCTCAGCTTTGTTCGTAGTGTTCAAAGAAATAAGAGAGCGTACATAATAATAATAATAATAAATAGCATTTGTACAGCGCATATCCCTCTCAACAACAGGCTCTATGCGCTTTAAACTATATTATTACCCCAGCAGACCATAGAACACTCCGAAACATTCTCAGCTTCCCGGGAAGCATACAGTGCAAGCAGCTGATTAAGCGCTCAAACACTAACAAACTGACAAGATCTTTCGCTGTCTATAGCCGGGTCCCCATTCCCACCTGGGTGAAGTGAGGAAAATTCGTGTAAAGTGCCTTTCCCAAGGACACAACGTCGGGTCCCTGACGGGATTCGAACCCACGACCTTACGGTTGCGAGTCCGAGAGCCTAACCACTAGGCCGCCGACGCCACATAGCAGCATCGTACTGTGCAGTAGCTGCATGTTTTGCTTTGTCTGGGTAATGACAAGCTTAGTAAGTAACTTACCCTTCCAGCCCCATGTGCGTATATTTTTCAGCAGCGCTTGTACCTCCCATCGTCTCAAGAGCGTATATTCTCAGTTTCAGGGGGTACCGAATTTGCGCATTTTCCGAAATTAGCAAATCTAATTAAACTTTAATGTTCATAATATTTGTTCAATTACATTTAAGCATTTTTATATGTTAATATGTAAACCTCATTACAAAGATACATCAATTTTTAGAATGCATGCCTCTTTTTCTGAAATACTGCTGTATTGGCTGGGACTAGTGTTAGGGAGTGCACAAAAATGGCTGGGGCTAGAAGGGTTAATATTCAGTTGCTCTTGAGGAAGCATAGGTGGCTAAACGTCGAGGCGATATAATAAACCAAATTTTAGATATTTTAAAATTTATACTTTTGTCTGTAAATCAATCAAGACTCTCCTTACTTACTCTGCTTTTTAAATAACTTAATGATGATTATAATGGATATGAACAAAACAACGGAGGAATATGAAAAATGGGTAGATAAGGGGAAAGATGTACCCCTTGCACCCTGCTACTTCCTGTCCACAGCTGTGTGAGTAGATGAAAATTTTTTTACATTATAGGTTAGCTTAAGTCAAAAGTTCCAAGAATGTCATTGTAATGTAGGAAAATAAAGGAATCATATTACCTTTGCTGTTTTTATATAATTCTGTTGCTGGCCAGGCATGGATTGTTCACCAGATATTGTTGGTCCATGGTAAAGAGTTATTGATTTGGAGCACAAGTTAAATTAATGTTACCCCCCCCCTCCCACCAGGGCAATGCTACTGACTGAAGTGTCTTTAGGCGATTCCCAAAGGGGGGGGGGATATTAACATGTTCTTATGCTCAGTAGAATTGTATATGGGCTGATTTATCAATGACATACTCATTTGTGCCGGAAAAACGTAGGGAGAACTGCTGCTTTTTCTTTCCTCATCCTTACTATCGTCATTTTCTTCAACTTCCTTTGAATGTTTGTCACTTTCTTATGAATTACTATTTCCGGGGTACCTTGATAGTCGAAGCAGACCTTATGCTGTTGAGGTTAGAGATGTGAGCAGGGTAAGCCTGATTCCCGTTGTGAACTTCTCTGTTGACATCCACCCCTTGGTGCTCGTATGACCTTATGCAGTTGCTGGTGGCGTAAAACTTTACTAAAACAAAATTAATGTTATCACTTTTTGTTGTTCTTTCAAAGTGCAAAGGGTGTTAAAAAATTGTATCTTTGGTCCAAAAATTGAATTAAACGCTTTTTCAGTTTATTTTCTCAGGTTAAGCAGTTAACAGTGGTAGTTTCTTTTGTAGGTTGTATCTATTTCCTTCGTGCAGAAAAATAAAAGTAAAGTGAAAGTATCTACTGTAAAATATCATCTGTAGTTTTCTTTCCTTCTGTCTTTCTTCTCTTCTCCTTTGCTTCCATTATTAGGCTTGACACCCTGTCTTTGAAATGTTCATTCAGATGTGCTGAACATCATTTACTTAGAATCAAAACAAACTCTTTACTTTTCCAGGTGGAGCGGCATTTTAAGCTAGACACTGCCTTCAGAGCGACAGCGTCTAGCAAGGACACAGATGCAGACACGCCAACGATAGGTAGAGGAATTAAAGTGTTTCTTGTTACCTCTTTCTGTGCCTTCTTTCCTTTTTCTATTCCTAATACCTTGACATTGTCTCATTTGATGAATGGTTTTACAATTTGTTTAGTGTACTCTTTCATCATGGAAACTTTAGTTGTTGTTGTTGTTATCGATCCAGCAACAGCTGGGCTCTCGCCCTTCTGTCCAATGCCTTGTAGTGATAAGTGCAGGTTTGCTGCAGTTGCTGTAATGTTCCATAGAGGGTGTTGTCAATGTTAGGGAGAAGGGTAGCTCTGAGGTCATTTTGGGCTGTGCAGTAGAACAGGTGATGATCCCCAGTCTCATATGTATAGTCACACAAGGGACACATTGTGTGAAGTTCTGGAGGAAACTTTATTCAACAAATGAGTGTTTTATGTGATGTGATGTGGGCCAGTAGCCTTAAACACTGAATAAACTTACGTACTTAATTCATACTTATTAATTTAGTGATCTCAAAATTTGTTTGGCTGCTGATGAGCTCTTGTATTTTGATTTCCTATTCGATCTCATTTTTAAGTCATTTTGTCAGTATTTTACTTACTTTGAGTGTCAGTTTAATTATAAATTATAAAGCATCATGCTTTAAGAGTCAACAAGTTGAAATTTGAATACAACATTAGGACTTAAAAGCTTTACTGAAACAGCTATATCAATGTAATACTGACTCTTGAAAAGAAAATTGAAATAGTTTCTCTTTATATATCAATGTAAAACTGACTCTTCAAAAGAAAATTGAAATAGTTTCTCTTTATTAGGCATAGATTCAAGGATAAAGAAAACAGTAATTTAATGGGTATGGTATAACGAATGATGAAGTGTTGGGGTTTGATTCCACGTATTTCGCTTTGTCCCTGTGAGTCCCTGACTCAGGTTGATGTTGTTAATGTTTTTGATTTTTCTGAGGGAGCTGTGTGTGAGGTAACACAAGATCTTTCCTCTTTCAAACTCAGAAGCTTCCGTAACTCTTTGGCTGATGTTGAATTATGATTTCGATGTATCAGTTTTGATGCGTCATTCACAGATATAATGCTGAATCTTGATTTCGCTTTATCAATTTTGCTGCGTCATTCACAGATATAATGCTGAATCTTGATTTCGGTGTATCAGTTTTGATGCGTCATTCACAGATATAATGCTGAATCTTGATTTCGGCTTATCAATTTTGCTGTGTCATTCACAGGTGTGATGTGCGAGTACGACGCTCTGCCAGGTATTGGCCATGCTTGCGGACACAATCTGATTGCCATTATGGGCGTCTCCATCGCTCTGGGCATCAAGGAGGCTTTAGAGCAAGGTGGTGTCAAAGGAAAAGTAAGTGACACTGTGTGCGGTTGCTTTTAAGTACAAGGGGGCTGTCCCCCCAAAAATGCTGTTTTGAGAAAATCGAAGGTAAAGTTTTTGCTCCTTGTTCAATTTCTTTAAAAGACAAGGAGAATTTTTGTCTACAACCAAACAGATACACACCAATGAAACCAAACTTCTCCTATAGGTAGGGCAATGTCCACTTTTGGAGCAGTCTAGAAATCCCCGAAATCTGGGTTAACTCGCTTGTCCTTAAAAGCGACCATATGAGCATAAAACTGCGTCAGCTTATTGCTGGCCCTATATTAGGAGACACTGAACCTGTAATAAAATGAATAAATCTTTAATATCCATTTACTGGAAATTTTGTCAAAAGATCTACTCAGGAGAGTCTCTGTGGACCTACTAGACAGAGTATACCTGTTTATTTTGTGACTATTAAAGTGTGTAAAATTGCATTTATATAGCGCATATCCATGCTCAAGAGCATGCTCTATGCGCTTTACAACTATTATTACCCCAGCAGACCCTCTGAGAACACTCAGAAACATTCTCAGCTTCCGCGGAAGCATACAGTGCAAGCTGCGGATTTCACGCGCTCAAACACTATCAAACTGACAAGATCTTTCACTGTCTATAGCTGGGTACCCATTTCCACCTGGGTGAAGTGAGGAAACTTTGTGCAAAGTGCCTTTCCCAAGGACACAACGTCGGGCCCCTGACGGGATTCGAACCCACGACCTTACGGTTGCGAGTCCGAGAGCCTAACCACTAGTCCACCGACGCCTTCTGTATTATTTGGTCATATTTTGACTCTGTAAACCCCATAGGATGCTGGGAGCGTCCGGCGGTAATAACCCTATTCCCCATCAAATGCTGGGAGCGTCTGATACTAGTGACAACTGTTGCGTTTTATTTAGTGCTAATTTTTTCTTGTTTTTCGGAACTATTCCCGATCTAATTTTTTTAGTAATGACTAAGCCTTTGTTTTCGCCATTCAAAAGTTGGAGGCAGGCTTTTGGGGTTTTAATGAGTTACAGGGCACCAGGTTTAGGTGACTATAGAAAAAAACTCAGGGAAACGGAGGAAAAAAACTCAGGGCTTAAAGAGTTAATCATAACTGAATGGAAATATGTCAGTAAATTGTATTTATTATATTTCTTTTTCTCTCACATTGTTCATCTGATGCTGCCCACAGTTGGTCGTTCTGGGCTGCCCGGCGGAGGAGGGGGGCGGGGGGAAGATCGACCTGATCAACGCGGGAGCCTACGACGACATGGACTGTGCCATCATGGGTCACCCGTCGCAGTTCAACCTGTCCAGGCCTGTCTACGTGGGGATGTGCCCGTAAGTGACCGTCCGTCAGCTGTAACGGACTTAGTTAATAATAATAATAATAAAAAATAGCATTTGTATAGCGCATATCCCCGCTCAACAGCAGGCTCTATGCGCTTTACACTATATTATTACCCCAGCAGACCATAGAACACTCCGAAACATTCCCAGCTTCTGCGGAAGCATACAGTGCAAGCTGCGGATTTCACGCGCTCAAACACTATCGAACTGACAGGATCTTTCTCTGTCTATAGCTGGGTACCCATTTCCACCTGGGTGAAGTGAGGAAACTTTGTGCAAAGTGCCTTTCCCAAGGACACAACGTCGGGCCCCTGACGGGATTCGAACCCACGACCTTACGGTTGCGAGTCCGAGAGCCTAACCACTAGGCCACTGACGCCACTGTGTTAACCCTTCCAGCCTCATGCTCGGATATTTTCAGCAACGTTTGTACCTCCCATCGTCACAAGAGCGTATATTCTCAGTTTCGAGAGGTACTGGATTTGAGAAATTAGCCTATTGTGCCTATACTTTTGATTGTATGATAATTATTATTATATGATAATATATAAAAATATAATGGCTTGGCCGCTTGTTACGAATGTCACCTAGTCGGCCAGCCTGAAGAGCCTATAACACCAAGTACTCGGGCTATAAAGGAAGAAGTAGGTCACGCAAAACATGGGTTGAGGGAGTCGGGGGAACCTTGAGAATTAACAGCATCTCAGTCGAAACAGCCGCTAAGTTCGCGTACCATAAAAAACTGTGTCTCCCTCGATGCTCAATGGCAGCAGAGGATGAAAAAGAAAATGAAATAAAAGAAAGAACTTCTGGTTGTAGTCAAGGGTTCCAGGGGGGCTCTCGTGGCCTAGAGGTTAAGGTGTTGGCCTCTCATTCAAAGGTCCCGGGTTCGAATCTGGGTAGCGACCAAAAAAATGTTCTTCTCTAAAATTGTCTCCTTTCACCTCCTTTCTTGCTCTCTAGCAAAGTTCTGTTGTCTGCTTTCATTTCCACTTTCTGCCCCCACCCCCTCACCTCCTTTGCCCCCTCCTCTGGCTCCTTTCTACTGCTACTCCTTGGCTCCTCCTTACTGCTGTCTTTCTGCCACACCCTTGATCTTCTGGTAGGAAAGATCTACACCTAGCCTTCTCGGACAAGGGCAAAAAATCTCGGAGGGCCCGTGTGCAAGTTGCGCACGTTAAAGATCCCTTAGTGGTCTAAAATCGATAAGAGTAGGCTTCGGCCGCCACCCGGGCAAAATTCAAAATTTCCTACCGACTGAAAATGTTTGGTGTGTCCCGCGCGCTCATATGACCTTATGCAGTTGCGAGGGCCGTAAAACACTTTACAAAAACCAAAAAACAAAAGGGTTCAAGGGTGGAACCCACGTGAATGGCTTGGCCTTTGCAGTCTGAGCAGCCGGCTTCTCAAAAGATCTAAATATTTATCTATATGGGTGCGCCGCGTATATTTACAACTTTACTAAAATAGGATAACTAGGAAAATCTGTGTTTCACATTTCCTGCTTGGCGAGAAAAAGTTGAAATAGATCGTGTTGTCTTTCCTCCTCAGGATGTCTATCACGTATAAAGGGAAAGCATCCCATGCCTCCAGCTTCCCGTGGGACGGAGTTAATGCCCTTGATGCGGCCGTGCTGTGCTATCAGAACGTGTCGTGCATGCGGCAACACATGAGGCCAACGTGGAGGGTGCATGGTGAGTGGAGCTGTTTGTGTTGTAGAAGTTACTTTTGCGGGATCGATTGCTGAATGTCTTCGTTTTGTACTCTCTGTTACTGTCATATGATTGCTGAATGTCCACATTTTGTACTCTCTGTTACTGTCATATGATTGCTGAATGTCCACATTTTGTACTCTCTGTTACTGTCATATGATTGCTGAATGTCCTCATTTTGTCCTCTGTTACTGTCATATGATTGCTGAATGTCCTCATTTTGTCCTCTGTTACTGTCATATGATTGCTGAATGTCCTCATTTTGTCCTCTGTTACTGTCATATGATTGCTGAATGTCCCTTTTTTTTATATGGATGGAGCTTGCAGTTGAGCAGGGATATGCGCTATACAAATGCTCCCCACCTCCCAACCTGGACAGTGCTACTGACTGTAGTTGTCTTTAGGCTATTTTCAAAGGAGGGGATATTAACATGTTCTTGTGCACAGTAGAATTGTAAACGGGCTGGTTTATCAAAGTCATGCTCATAATGTACAGGAACAACATAGGGGGGAACTGCTGCTTTTTCTTTTGTAATCCTTACTATTGTCTTTTTTCCTGTACCTTTTTTTGTATGTTTGTCACTCTTGTGACCCACTATTTCTGGGGTGCCTTGACAGTCGAGGCAGACTGTGCTGTTGAAGCTAGGGAGGTGAACAGAGTAAGCCTGGTTCCCTGTAATAACTTCTCTGTTGACATCCACCCCTTGGCGCTCTTATGACCTTATGCAGTTGCGAGTACTGTAAAACCTCTACTAAATCAAACAAACTGAACTTCCTCTTTATGCCATCTGTGTTCCTGTTTTGTGATTACTGAATGGCCCTTTTTTTAGCTTGATAGAGCTTGCTGTTGGGCAGAGGATGTGCACGATGCAAATGCTGTTTTTTAAAATTATTTATTATAACCCAATGTGCATCACATTGATATCTCCTAGGTTTTTTTTTCACTGTTATCATAGTTTTGCCTTTGGACAAGAGATTTGGGTGGTTGGCGGGTGCTCTGGTGTGGTTTACTCCTTCTTTCTTATCAAACATCTATCCTCCTTATCTCCGTTCCTTCTTTTTTTGTGTTTGTTACTCTCTTGTAACACCTATTCTTCAGCACTAATCTGACCTTATTGTGTTGCAAGTGCCGTAAAACTCATAAAGCTAAAACTTATTATTATTAATAAGTTGTAGAGAAGGGAAACTTCATCATGAGATGCACCTCGTGTGTACTGAAACTGAAATCTCCCCTCCTTCTTTTCTGTGTTTGTTACTGTCTTGTAACACTTCTAATCTTCGGCTCTTACATGACCTTATTGTGTTGCAAGCACCGTTAAAGTTTTGCTAAAACTAAAACCATTTCTGCGTGTAATCCGTCTCTGTGTAGGTGTGATCACACACGGAGGAGAGAAGCCAAATATCATTCCGCAGAGATCGGAGCTGCTGTACTACACGCGGGCGCCCACGGTCGAAGAACTGGAAGAGCTGAAGTCAAAGGTCAAGGACTGTGTCGAAGGGGCGGCAAAAGCTACAGGGTGCTCGGTAAGGATTTTCTCGGAGTCCGAACAATTTATATATTTTTTTAACTCAATGTAAGTTGTTGGTGGGTGCTCTGGTGTGGTTTGCTTCTTCTTTGCTATCAAACATATGTCGTCCTTTTCTCTCCTTCTGTTTTATGTTTGTTACTCTCTTGTAACACCTCTAATCTTCGGCTCTTATATGACCTTATTGTCTTGCAAGTGCCGTAAAACTCTTACTAATTTACTAAAACTAAAACTTTAAACACAAAGTTTTGTTCGTCATCGTAAGAGTTTTCTCCTTATCCGCGGTGCGACGTCGCGGCGCATGTGGTCCTTGGTGCTCTTGAGGTGAGCAGAGTAAGTCTGATTCTCCGTCTGGATTTCTATGTTGACATCCACCCCTTGGTGCTCCTTATGCAGTTGCGAGCACCGTAAAACCTTACTAAAAACTAAACTGAGAGAAACCGTCTCCTTACACGTGGTGCGACGTCTAGCCTCACACAACCGTCGCCTGCGATTGGTCCATGAAGCTATCAAGTTCCTGTTGCATGCGACAGACTAAGGGTGTGACAGGTTTAGAGCATCACGGTTGGTCAGAATACCTAGCCAGGGAGTGCTGGTCGACACGCTGTGTGTGCGTGTGTGTGTGCGCATGTGTGTGTGTGTGTGTGGGATGTTCATCTTTAATTCGACCTAAGGCAGGTTTTGTGAATCTAATTTTGTTGTTTTGTTTTTTTAACGGACAACAGCAGGAGGAGGAGGAGGAGGAGGAGATGGAGAAGGAGGACCAGGAGGAGGAGGATAAGGATGACTAACACGGGACTGGCCATATACGGAATCAAAAATGTCAGCGGCTCGTACTTTGTACTTCCTTGTCCGTCTTGATATTAAAATATGCCAGTCTCTCTTCTGTGAATAGCCAGTAATGCAAGGACTTAACCAGTTGTGCGCGGCTAAACGTTGTGGCGTGCACATGGAAGTGAAAATTTTGGCGCGATGTGGTCGCGCATAAGGATCGGATACACACCTCATGACTCATCGCTAACAACTGTCACATGTGACTAAACGTCGCGTTGCGCATAAGGAGACATAGGCTTAGAGAGGTCGATTGTTGGGTGTTGGTTTAACTCCCATGTCAACGCTGTAAGGTTGTTAATACACTGTACTTTTGAACTCTAAAGTCGAAGTAAACTTTGGGCCCACCATTCGGAACCTACTGGACCTTTTTAGCACATCCAAGGTCTTCACCCTTGTGGGGCTTCATTTGGGTTGCTTTGATTTCGTGTGCAAAACTCGGTTTTAATCATTTTAAGAGCGGGGGTTTGGAAATTTAATTTTACTCATTTGATTATAACTTCCATTTCCTATGGGACCAAACCAAGTAGCTGAAGAACCGTAACTTTTTGAACCCCATCGGGCACTGGGAACATCCAGCACTAGTGACAACTGTTTTGTTTTATTCAGTGCTAGTTTTTGCTTGTTTTTCGGAACTATTCTCGAACCAAGTTTTTAGTAATGACTAAGCCTTTGTTTCCGCTATTTAGAAGTTGGAGGCAAGCTTTTGGGGTTATGAGACATAGTGCACTAGGTTTAGGTGACTGTAGAAAAAAATTCTGGGAAACGGTGTGAAAAACTCAGGGCTTCAAGAGTTAGAAATTCCCTAAACACCCCTAGTTTATGCTCTCACGGGTGGGGATTAGAACAAACATCATCAGTACAGTAGCCCAGCATGATGCCAACTGACCTCGCAGCATATACTTCTAGTTTGGGAAGGTTCATATGTTTTTGATAAGATTACCCATGAAACTAAGACAAATAAGAACACTTGATAGCTTCAAAAGACACCTTAAACATTTTCTGTTCCTACAGGCCTATCCTTCATAAGCTTTTAATGTTATCTTTCATTATAGTTGTTCTGTTCCTATGTCTGGATGAAAATAGTCTGTGTGTGTGTGTGTGTGTGTGTGTGTATGTGTGTGTGTGTGCTTTAATGTATATTGCATGAGAAGAAAGATAGTAGTAAGAAAGGTTTTTGAAAAATGGCTATTCCAATGTAAAGCGCATTGAGCTACTTTTTTGGAAATGCGCTATATAAATGTTATATATTATATATTATTATTATTATTATCTGTCTGAAGAAATTGATTAGAAAATAACAACATTTGGCATTAGGAAGATTATTATTTGGCGTCTTCTGGCCTTGAATCTAGGAAATCTTTCTTTCAAGAAAGATACATTAGAATGTCCATAGACAATTCATTTCAGAATGAAAAATTAATGGGTGATCAGTGATGGTTTGGTTTTTTTTGGTGTGTGTATCTCAATCATAATTACATCCAGGATTTATCTTTCCTCTTTACTGTTTAGTTTTTGCTTCACTAAGGACCAAAGACATTTGTGATAATTCTGCTCAATTGTCAATTTGAGAAAATGGCCTATGTGTTGTATTTGTCTTCTGGGAGTTAAAGTAGTAAGATGATTTTATAACTTTCATATTTGACATTTTGCAGGAATTTCATTACATGAAGTTCCAATGTAATAAAAATGAAACAATGTGATAACCCTCCTTCAAGTGATAGGCAAAAAAAGGAGGGAATTAAAATGGGGAGGTGGGAAGTATTGAGGAAGTTGCTTTGAGGTTGTTTATGAAGTTGTATTAGAGAACAATAGTGTGCCCTGTAATAATGATAATAATAGATTGTATTTATATAGCTCTCTATCCCATACTAGTATGAGCTCTGAGCGCTTTACACCAATCACATGATCATTCACATGAGAGAATATATTTCATAGAAACAAGAAAAACCAGTTCAACCACATAAAGAAGAACTTTCACAACCATACATTAACTATATACACGAAAGGACAGCAGTAAAAAAACCCAACATATGAGCACTTACTAACACACTATAACTGAGAATTAAACAAATGAGTCTTGAGCAATCACTTAACCCTTAAAACCCTATACCGCTGGTAACCGCTGACGCCCTATTTTCCTATACCGCTGGTCGACTTTATCGTTTAATTCCCAGTGCTAGAAACAGGGGATATAACTCCAGATGACTCTGTCGCGAGCAGAAAGTACCGATAATATCATGAGAGCAGTTCTACACCGAGAGTTTGGAAATTTTGCGAATTTTAAAGAAAAAATGAGTCACTTTTCGCTGCCAGGCCCTTCAGGCCTCAAAATTTTTGACATTTTTTATCCTAACCAGACCCCAATAATGATCTCCCAGTCGGATATATCGATAAATATGACCGTTGAAGACGATTGCAATGTTCCGCATAACATCGATGATGATTTTGACGATAGTGGAATTGGCAGGGGATCACCCCTAAAGCTACCAGAGGCTAGATCTACGGCTGGGTCTAATGATACTTTGACTGAAGTGGAGTCGGGGATCACACACAAGACTTAACTCATAGAGTTGGTCCTAAAAACCAGTGTTTTAACCCTTTCCCCTTTTGTTCAGACTGCATTCATATTTAAATAACATTTTCAAACTTCAGTAAAATCTAACAACAATTAAAGACACAGTAAACAAAACAATGAACCAACCTAATTTTTTCTGGTATCTCAATTTTAATTCATGATTCTAGGGAGGTATGAAAAAAAAAAGAATTCAGGGTTTTAAGGGTTAAACGTATCAACCTTTATTGTTATTTCTCTGAGATCCTGGGCAAGGTGATCCAGATTTTAGGGCCAAAAAATGAGAGAGGAGGCTGTGGCCTCACTCAGTTGTGTGAAACCATCGTCAAGTGTTTGTTTCATAATTTCTCTGAGATCCTGGGGCAAGCTGTTCCAGTCAGATTTTAGGGCCCAAAAAGTTGAGAGAGGCTGTGGCCTCGCCCAGTCATGTGAAACTTTCATCAAGTGTGAGGCCTGCTGACAAAATGAGTTACTTCTCGCCATCCATGAAATGGAGATATTGACCATAAGTCGACTCAAGGGTCAAATTTGTAGAATTTTTACTAGTGACTAATGCCATATTCTTTAATTTTAACATGCGTTTTATGATTCCATACTAATAAATTATGAAAACTTCACCTTCTGTAGGTGGTTGGTGGGTGCTCTGGTGTGGCTTGCTCCTTCTTTCCTATAAAAAATCTATCGTCTCTATCTCCCCTCCTCCTTTTTTTGTGTTTGTTACGCTCTTGTAACACCTCTAATCTTCGGCTCTTTTATGACCTTATTTTGTTGCAAGTGCTGTAAAACCCTTACTAAAACTAAAAACTTTACCTACTAGCGTGATAGGCCTATATATTTTTCCATAAGTCTTGAATCCGAGAAGTAACTGAACTCATTTTGTCAGCCCGCTTCACAAGTGTGTGTTTGTTCCAACAGGTGGAGTACAAGTTCGGCGCAAACGCCTACGCGCCTCTTCTCTCCAATGACATCCTGGCCACCTTGTACGAGAAGAACGGACAGAATCTGGGGATCGAGTTTGAGAATGACCCGACGCGGCTCAGCAAACAGGGGGGTTCCACAGACATGGGCAACGTGTCGCAGATTCTGCCCAGCATCCACCCCAAGTACAGCATCAACACGATGGTGGCGGCCCACACCACGGACTTCAGGGACAAAGCCAGTGAGTCGGCGGATCTTCCTCTCTGACGATGACTGCTGGGGGTGGGGTCTAAGATTTTAAGGAATACCCAATGCTAGAAATAATATAGTCACTTTTTAGCACCAGGGGGCTATCCCGAAAAGCGCTGTTTTGAGAAAGTCGAAGGTGGGTGGTTGGCGGGTGCTCTGGTGTGGTTTGCTTCTTCTTTCCTATCAAACTTCTAATCGTCTTTATCTCCCCTCTTTCTTTTTTGTGTTTGTTACTCTCTTGTGTAACACCTTTAATCTTCGGCACTTATATGACCTTATTGTGTTGCAAGTGCAGTTAAACTCTTACTCAAACAAAAACTAAAAAAGCCAGCGAGTCGCATCTTCCTCTTTGACAATGACTGTCGGGGAGTCTTAGGTTTTAAGGAATGCCCAATGCTAGAAATAATATATGACAATGATATGGGGCATTTATATAGCGCTTAACCTAGATTAAAGTCCTCAGCCCCAATACTGAAATGGTTCACCTACTTTTTCTACGGCAAAATTTTGGTGATCCTGTAGAATTTTGGTTTAAACGGACTTTTAAATTTTAAGGAAAGACCCAATGGTTTAAATAAGTGGGTGGAAAGGTGGAAATGGTTCACCTGTTTTGTCAAGTCTTTTAGGGACACCAGTAGGCTTTTGTTCTTGTGCGTGAGGGTTCAGGAGCCCGCCAATCGTAGTGTGGTGGGGGGCTCTCGTAGCCTTGAGGTTAAGGTGTACACCTCTCATTCAAAGGTCAAGGTTTGATTCCGGGTAGTGACAGAAAAATTTTCTTCTCTAAAAATTGTCTCCTTTCTCCTCCTTTCCTGCTCTCTAGCAATGTTCCTTTGTCTGCTTTCGTCTACATTTTTCTGCCCCCACCCCATAACCCCCTTTGCCCCCTCCCCTGGGCTCCTGACTCTTTCTGCAGCTTTTCTACTGCTACTCCTTGGCTCCTTCTTACTGTTGTCTTTCAGCCACATCCCTGATCTTCTGGTAGGAAAGATCTGCACCTAGTCTTCTCGAACAAGGGCGCAATATCTCGGAGGTCCCGTTGTGAACTGCTATTTTTGGGGTGCCTTGATAGTCGAAGCAGACTTTGTGCTGTTGAGGCTAGAGAGGTGAGCAAAGTAAGCCTGATTCCCTGTTTGCACTTCTCTGTTGACATCCACCCTTTGGTGCTCATATGACCTTATGCAGTTGTCAGTGCTGTAAAACCTTACTAAAACAACTGTTTTAAAGACAACTGTTTTTCTAAACTAAGTTATTAACCACGAGTGCCAAGGTGCATGGATGGTTCTTGATTGTCGTCAAGTGTTTCGTTTTTTCCTCCTCAGGGACAGAAGAGTCCCACGATCTGACGTTGATCCACTCCAAGGCCATGGCCCTGGCTGCGATCGACGTGTGCAACGACCCGCCACTGGTGGCTCAGATGCAGGCGGAGCTGAAGCAGCGTCAACATCCCAGTGCTCGTCGCTGATCTGCCGGTTTGAGGATTTGTGCATCTTGGGTGTAGTGCCCTTCTTTCTGTCTTTTACTGTGTGTGTAATGAATCCATGTAGTGGAGCTTTTTATATATGTGTGTCAGTGTCAGTCAAATTCAGAAATAAGTTAGAAATTTCACAAATTTGAAAAAAACCCCCAAAAAAACTGTCACATTTTCTCTACACTGTAAAGAAAGATTGAGGTCAGTCTCAGAATATTTGACTAAAATTTTGAAACTTTGATTCTGTAAGGTGCGGAATGGCGAAAATGAGAAAATGGAACTAGTGTTATGCCAAACCACATACACTTCAGAAATAAATATAAATAAAATACATATAGTGGAGAAAAAAAAAATAATGAAGTGAAACAACCCCCCCCCCCCCCCCCCCCCCCCTTCCCAAATTTTTTATATTTTTTTCAAGAGAAATGAAAGATACAAGGTTCACCACAGGTCAATTATTTCTTTCTTTCGGGCCTTGTAGCTTGGAGTTGCAAAGTGCGTCTTATGTCTGATTATGATGGACGCTGACACATACGTCTTCCTGACTCCCGAGAGTGGCTTTGATGCTACTGTCCCTTATCCCAATACTGCTGCCGTCATTTGTAAAAGTACAGATTATGCAGTTTTTACAATTTTACATAGAGCCAAACAACTGAATTATGCTACCAAGAATACAAACTCTTTGCAAACATCCCTAGTCAATATTTTTGAGGATACGATTTCGGTAATAACTTTCCTTATTATCTTAACCCTTTGAGCCCTAGCAACGGGTACACGGGAGGCGCCTAAAATTGCCCGTATGCCTAGCCACTGACCGGTACACCGGTGAGCTTGACCCTATCCCCAGCCCTGCCCATCTGGGCCAATATATGAAGGGAAAACAGTACACGCGACGTTATTGGTCATTTTGAAGATCTTTCTGACTTTGATGCTGGTAATGACGAGGATTGTCCTCAGTGATATATAGAATGTGCTTATGACAATCATATGAATGTTGGTAATATATCACTCAGGAAGAGGGACATGGTAGCCTCAGGAGGACAGGGCTCAAACGGTCAAAGGAAATGTTGTTTTCTGGGTGACAACACTCCGTTTTTTGGCTCTCATGTAAAATCGTAAAACTACACATGTGAGGCGTCAAAGGGAAATCAGTCGCTTGTCAAAATAATGAAATTAAAGAAACTGATTGGCCAGTGGGCAATTTTTTTTTCTAGTTTTCTTCTTTTTTTTTCATCTCAACACCTTTTATGTCCATTTAAAAACACATTTCTGTGTGAATTTAACTTAAAGACCTTGAATAATGGCACTAGAAATATAAATTTTCAGTTTCCAAGGACTCTCAGGCTATGGATGTTACCAAACTTTGACGGCCATTTTCTCGCTAATTTTACTTCTGACACTAACACCAAGCGACCCAGACATCCTTCAATGGAAAATGTTTCAACTTCTATTCAACATAGATGGATATTTTTTTTCACTAAAAGGAAGACAGATGAACAGGCTTTAAGATTATGCCAATAACCCCATATGCCCCAAAAAACTGATGAGCGCCTGATTCCACCGCGCCGTGACACGTATGGAGAGACTGGAGGATCTGTGTAGACCAGTGGAGTGCCCCTCATCTCTTGGTTTTGGTTCTTCCTCTCTCACTGCTTGACTCGTTTTCTTTCTGGATTTTTTTTGGGGGGGGGGGGGGTTTGCTTTGCTTTTCGTTTTCCTTCCTTAAGAAGGTCTGGACAGTTAGTTTTTTTTTGTTTTGTTTTGTCCCCCGCTCATTTCTATGATATTGTTGATGTAGCAACATAAACAGCAACAGAGAATGATGTACGTAGACACATTCATGTGGTCTGCTTCTTTTACTTCTATTTATGTGACTTCTGTTCTAGTCTGTAACCTGATGGTATGTCATCGCCTTTGTGCCATTTGCTAGAATTTATCCTTTAACAACCCTCCACATCTGATTTAATTTTTACAAAGGGTGTTTCCGTGCCAATCCCTGGAATGTTGATTGCTTGAAAGGGAGGAAATAGCAACAGGAACTATACGTCTTTCATGAAGTACAATACGTTCTTTTCTGTTGCTTGCATTAACGTCGCATACTCTCTCATAGTCACATAGGCTTTGTCTTTACCAGATCTCACTTTGTGAGAATTTTTTATGTTTGTCATTTTTTCCGAGTGTCTTTAGACTGTTTAGAGTTCTTGTAATGGTACAGGACAAAGTGGGTTGATACGAGAACTAAAGAATTATCGTAGGTCTATAGAACTGGCTTATTAGTTCCCGTCTTCCTTCATAAGCTGTATTGGAGTGTGTTGAAAACATCTGCACTCACAGTTACATCTATCTGAACTCTATTGTGCTCTGGTTTTTTTATCAGTAACTTTGCAAACAAAGTTGGATGCAAGCAATGTCAACTTTATAATCAGGCACTTCCTAATAGATTGTCAAGACTTGGGAGAGGCCTGAAAGAAATACTTTAAATGCCCTAATTTAAAGAAATTGTTCTCCATCGGTGATCCCTTGATAAAGACTACTGGTCTTAATGTCAAAATGTAGCAAGATTTGTTTTAAAAATGTAAACGACTGGGCTTTTTAAACTGAAATTTTCACAATGTTTTTTTAGATTCTTCAACCATTCTTACTTGCAAAGTAAATCCAAGTAATGCCTTGGACTAACTTGAAATACCACCAATTTGTGTCCTGGGCACTCATATGACCATATGCAGTTGTGAGCGCCATAAAAACTTTGACCAAATATAACGTAAAACGTTTGCAAACAAGACCATGTAGTATCCAAAAGTCTGCAAGTTCCTTTTTTAGTTGATCGTGTTTGGTCGTATTCTGCATTTTTTTTTTCTCTTTGGAAATGAAGAACGAACACTATTTTTACTGTTTTCCTTCTCAGCGTGCAAAATATATTTACTGGTTGACTTGGCCATTTGAAGCTAATGGGCTTTTTTTCATATGTGTGTGTGTGTGTGTGTGAACGGAAAATATCTCAGAGGTGCTAAAGTAGTTTTCCTGAGTACTTGAGGTGCGCTATTTTAACTCGTTACTGACGCTAGAAAAACATGTGCTAGGTTTTGTGTTGTTTTACGATTTACTGTGTGAATAAAAACAAAAAAACGTCGTCGTCACGAAATTGTTCATGTCAGAGCGACGCATACTTATTAATTACCTTTCTCTCCCATATAAATAAGTGGTGGCTTTACTTTGTGGTGCTGACGAAGCATTAATGATGCTCTTGATCTGACGGAATAACTCGTTTGGTATGAACAAAGAAAAAAAGTGTCCTCAAAATTCGGTGGCGCCCTCTTCGCAAAAGCGCACCTTAAGCGAACAGAGTTACCCTACTTGAGTTTAAAAAATCAAAGTGAAACTAGCAAGTTTTTGAATGAATTTCGGAAGAACGCTTTTTTAAAATGGTTATGCTGACAAAAAACCTCTTCCGGAGGAAAGGGTGATGGTTTTCTTCGTTTAATTTGACTTTAGAATGAAAGGCAAGAGGTCATTAAAATTAAAAAAAACTAAAACTCCGTACTGAACGAACCCGAACTGCTGATGAACAGCAGTCGATCTGCGCATGCAAGGAAGTGCTATTCCTATTCTTCTTCTGGAAAAACGAAAGAGAGCTTCAAAACAGACTGCAGCGCCATCTGAAGCAAAGAGCATACTTCCTGTGGACACTTTTTTGGCTGAGTGGCCCATCTTGTTATTTACTATCTTTGGTATGAATTAATTCGTTTGATATGAGTGAGCAAATTCGAAAAAAAAACCCTAATAAAAGATGATGTTCTTTTATGGAATATGGTATTTTGTACATTTTACTAAGAGTACTTAAATGTACCTTTGGGGTGTTACATTGTAATGAACGTTGGATATTATTAAACGTATATTTTTACAGCTCAAGGAACCGTCTTGTGTTTGTTCTGAATGTGATAAGTGTTTGTTTTACAGTTGACATTGTGGGTGGTTGGCGAAGTGTTTGTTTTACAGTTGATATTGTGGGTGGTTGGCAGGTGCTCTGATGTCGTTTGATTCTTCTTTCCTATCAAACATCAATCGCCTTTATCTCTCCTCCTTTTTTTTGGTGTTTGTTGCTCTCTTGTAACACCTCTAATCTTTGGCACTTATACTTATATGACCTATTGTGTTGCAAGTGCTGTAAAACTCTCGCTAAAACTAAAGCTTACATCATAATGGCACTCTATGTGTGACGGCCACTTTTCTCCTCAACAAAAGCTGGTTGTCTTAGACAATCCAGACTGTAGTTTGTACAGACAGGATCACCAACGAGGAAATATTATGAAGAACAAGACAGAGTCCAGTTAGATATTAGGTGGGAAGAAAGCGTTGGCGATGGATTGGACACGCTTTCAGGAAGTCAAGCAGCTGTATAACAAGGAAAGTCTGTCCCCGTGGTTTTATGCACACAAAAAATAATAATCAAATTATGCAAACTGAGTCCAAAAATGTGAAATTATGCGATTCTGTTAATTTTAACAAAGAGTGATGAAGGAAAATAATCAGAAATTAAGCAAAAAATGATCAAATTTCGTTAAATTATGCGGGGTGCATAAAACTGCGGGGATAGGAAAGTGTTAGATTGGAACCCACAGGGTAAAAGATCAAGGGGAAGACCTCGTGGAACCTGGAGAAGAGTCACGGAAATTGAAGTACAGAAAAGTGGGAAGACATGGAGTGACACCAAGCGACTAGCCCAGGATAGGGAAAGGTGGAAAGTGTTTGTTCGTGGCCTATATCCTGATCCAGGATGAGAAAAGGCAATGATGATTGTCTTGGACTGGTGACTTAGTTTAGTTTTAGTAAGGTTTTACGGCGCTGGCAACTGCATAAGGTCATATGAGCGCCAAGGGGTAGATGTCAACAGTGAAGTCCAATAAATGTGGAATCGGGTTTACTCTGCTCACCTCCTACGCCTCAACAGCACAAGGTCTGCTTCGACTATCAAGGCACCCTGAAAATAGCAGTTCGCTAGAGAGTGACAAACGTACGAAAGAAGTAGAGGTAAAATGACGATAGTAAGGATGAGGAAAGAAAAATCAGCAGTTCCCCCTATGTTGTTCCGGCACCGTGTGAACATGACATTGGTAAATCAGCCCATTTTTACAATTCTACTGTGCATAGGTACATGTTAAATCCCCCCCTTTGGGAATGGCCTAAATGGCATCTTCAGTTAGTAGCACTAAGACAAGACAAGATCATTCGCTCTCTATGGCCAGGTACCCATTTCCACCTGGGTGAAGTGAGGAAAATTCGTGTAAAGTGTCTTTCCCAAGAACACAACGTCGGGCCCGTGGCTTGAACCCCCGACCCCGCATCCTCACGATTACGAGTCCGGTAGCCTAACCACTAGGCCACCGACTCAGTACCAAGACTCCGTCAGAGTCAGAGGAAGGGTGCTTGTTGGGCCAGTCACTTGTTCAAACTTGTTCAGGGTTCCTGCGGCCTCCTCAAATTCAAGGAGTCCTTGATAATTCATTGAATTTGCATTCAAAGAAAAATCTCCTTGAAATTTCCTTGAATTTCGCCGGATCGGACATAACAACAATTTTGTCGGATTGCTCTTGGTGCGCGGTCGAAAACGGCTTATATTTCTTGGCCAAATCTCCTTGAATTAAAAAAAAAATTCTCCTTGAATTTAATGGGGAGTTCATGACAGGAAATTCAAATGTGAAGTCAGTCTTGTTGTATGGATGTGAGACGTGGAACGCATCTCATACGTGCATAAAGAGGATCCAGGTTTTCTTAAACAAGGGTCTGAGGAAGCTGCTGAGGATCAAATGGACGGACAGGATCACCAACGAGGAAGTATTAAGAAGAATGAGACAGAGCCCAGTCAGAGATGAGGTGGGAAGAAGACGTTGGTGATGGATTGGACACTCTCTCGGGAAGTCAAGCAGCTGCATAACAAGAAAAGTGTTAGATTGGAACCCACAGGGTAAAAGATCAAGGGGAAGACCACGTGGAACCTGGAGAAGAGTCACGGAAATGGATGTACAGAAAAGTGGGAAGACGTGGAGTGACATCAAGCGACTAGCCCAGGATAGGGAAAGGTGGAGAGTGTTCATGGCTTATATCCTGATCCAGGGTGAGAAAGGCAATGATGAAGATGATGATGGCAGAAATCCTGCTTGTTTTTGGCCATTACGGTTGAATAGTTGAATATAACATACGTTCTTTCTCTGCAGTATTTTGATTAGTAAAACACACACACACACACACACACACACACACACACACACACACACACACACACACACACACACACACACACACACACTCTCTCTCTCTCTCTCTCTCTCTCTCTCCCCCCCCCCCTCTCTCTCTCTCTCTCTCTCTCTCTCTCTCTCTCTCTCTCTCTCTCTCTCTCTCTCTCTCTCTCTCTCTCTCTCTCTCTCTCCAAAAGGCAATGATTTGAGTGTTTGTAATCACAAGGACAAAAATGACAGATGAGTCCTTTGTCCGCTTGCACAAATGGTGGGTGATGAAGTAAGTAAGAGCAATTACCGACGTGTGAGCTATGGTTTCATTGCTGCAGATGTCATACCATTGTCCACGAGGTACACGCCCACAGGAAAGTGACGGTTTTCCCAAATGTTGAGCTGACCATGTTACATGGGTCGACGAGATTGTGAGGGACAGAACATTTTGTTAGGTGACAGATAATGGTGCCCATTTTTACTATTAGTAATACCTCACCGGGGAAGGAAGACGACAGTTGATAGTTTTCCAACTAACTGCTGCTGACCATTGTTATAGGTGTAGACGAGATTGTGGGTGACAGAACATATTTTTGTTATGTAATAGATTAATTGTAACATCCCGGTCTGCATTCAATTGGTGTCTACATCTATTACATATGTACCGTACCGGGGAAGGTTTGTAAGCTCTCTGTCTATATTGGTGTCTTTCTATTATCTATTTGTGGTGGCCGAATTTTGCTATTCAAAAGGTTTTTCAATGGCTGCATCGATCAACAGGCGGTTTTCGCCAAAAGATTCTTTAAAATATTCTCCAGATCATGACGCCCTTCGTTTTTTCCAGTTTTGAGACAGTTTTCCTTCAAAAAGCGAAATTTCTTTATTTCGCCGATTGCTTTTGTAGGACGACGCTTCTGTCTCTTTTATTTAAAAAAATCCGCCAGGTTTGTTTATTTCAAGTTGTACTTCCGTTCGATACTATCGCGCATTGTCGCGCAATACTGAGCACTATTTTAAGTGTGCGACCCGTATAGATCTAGACCTTTTAATTTTTTGCATCTCTCAAGATGTATTGCTCCATTCCAGCAGAGTGTAAATGTAATAGGCCAGTGACTTTCAGTTGATGTTAATGCACCGATCATTCCTTTCATCGAAAGGGGGCCCAGCTAGTCTTACTTACTTACTTGTCTTGTCCTTACTTGTCCACTGTGTTGGGGTCACTGCAGTCGGAACATGTCCATCTTCGCTCTCCCCCCTCTTCAGGATCCATCCCAGAGTCTGTCTACTAGTTATAGTTTCCATCATGATTTGGTTGGAGATCCGTCGGACTGGTCCGCACAGATGGCTGTGTTTCCCCTCTCCTCTCTGGATCCCCTTCTCCTTCAGTCTCCCTAGAGTGTGGGAACCGCTATCCGCCCTATTCTTCCTCAAATTTTCCCTTACAGCGGTTAGGACGGTTGGTGGGTCCAGTGTCAAATAGCTAGTATAGTATACAACTGTACTGAGGAAGGATGATGCTAGTTTTTCTACTACTGACCATAATTACAATGATAGTATAGACCAGACTGCGGATGACATAACATTTTGTTAGTTATACTAACTTATACTATAGGTTTATAATCTCTCTGTCTACATTGGTGTCTATATACATGTATCTAAAAATCTATCACAGTATTGGGGAAGGAAGTTGATAGTTGATAATTTTCTAACCAACAATTGACTATGTTACGACACCTATCTCCTAGATTGTGGATGACGTAACGTTTTGTGAACATACAATGCATGTAGGCCTACTATAAGTTTGTAATCTCTAGGTGTACATTGGTGTCTATATTAAATATGATGCAGCTTGTTTTCCTACTACACGTATTTAGTACTATTGACCATGAGTACAATAATCGACCAGACTGCGGATGACCCTAACATTTTGTTAGTTATAAAATAGGTTTATAATCTCTCTGTCTACTTTGGTGTCTATGTCTATTACTGTACAGGGGACGGAAGATGATAGTTGGTTCCTACAAAACACACCATTTGACTGAATATGAGCTGAATGAAGAATGAAAGGCAAGGGAGGAAAGGTGCCGCGCGTACTAGACAAAAGCAAGACTGGTTGTTTTGCCCTTCATTTGGGAGTAATGGCGCCGCCCATGATGTACGCGCTCAGGGCCGCGTTACCCGTAAGGCTGTTTAAGCTGTAGCCTAGGGCCCCGCACCTGCAAACATGACGTTTAAAAATGTTTTTCAACAAAAAAAAAATGTCCTCTTGTTGAATTGTTGTTGTTGTTTTGATCCTTAGGGTTGTATTCTTCACTTTTTAAGAATATTTCTGGTGCGAAGATCTCTTTGAAACTTTCGGTATTTTTCTTGAAAAACGATTTTGACAGACTGCACGAATTAACGAGTAAATTTCCTCTTTGGAAAGTGGTGGCACAGAGTTCCCCACGTCGTATGGATACGATAGTAAAACACGACGTACGGATAGGGTTAAGTGGTGGCACAGAGTTCCCCACGTCGTATGGATACGATAGTAAAACACGACGTACGGATAGGGTTAAGTGGTGGCACAGAGTTCCCCACGTCGTATGGATACGATAGTAAAAGACGACGTACGGATAGGGTTAATAACGACTCCAAATGATCCTATGAGTTTGATAGAGCAGATAGAACATTTGGTTTCTGACCACATGGTCGTTGGTAACTCCAAAAGCAAAAGGGTCGGATAGAACTTTGTAATTTTAAGGTAGTGATAGGTCAACCACCCACCCACACACACACACACACACACACACACACACACACACACACACACACACACAAAACAACCAAACTCTTCTGGGTTCAAATTATGACAGGAGAAACGGGTTTAGTCATATTATTACACAGACCCCTCCCCCACCTCCCCCCCCACAAATCATTCTTGATCTTCTGCAGTTTCTGCTTTTGTCATCCTCAATCCTTGACCAAAATTGAGTCGACAGTGCCGTGAAACACCAACTCAATCAAAAACCAATCAATCCTCCGTCCTGCAGTCAATCAATCAGCAAGAGCGAGCTCTCAGTCCAGTGATTGTTTTTGTCACTTTGTTGGGCACAGTTGTGGGGCCTGAACAGTAGGCGTAGCTGAAACACACGCAGAATAACACCACATGAATGACAAGAGGTTATTGGCTATTGTTGTTGTTGTTGAGGTGTTGTTGTTGTTGTTGTTGTTGTTGTTGTTGTTGTTGTTGTTGTTGTTGTAGTGGTGGTGGTGGTGATGTTGGTTGGTGTTGTGGTGGTGATGTTGTTTGGTATTGTTGTTGTTATTGTTGTTGTGATGGTCATGTTGGTTGGTGTTGTTGTGGTGGTGGTGGTGTTAGTTTGTTGATGCTTTTGTTATTGTTATTCCGCTGTTATTGTTGTGGTGGTGGTTGTGGTGATGTTGTTGTGGTGGTGATGTTGGTTTGTGTTGTTGTTGGTATTGTTGTTGTGGTGGTGATGTTGGTTTGTGTTGTTGCTGTTATTGTTGTTGTGGTGGTGTTGCTGTTGTTGTTGTTGTGGTGGTGTTGCTGTTGTTGCTAATGTTTTGGCTCCCTTTGTTGTTGTTATTGGGGTTGTCATTTTTTATCTCAGTCCTGTGATTGTCTTTGTCACTTTGTTGGGCACAGTTGTGGGGCCTGAACAGTAGGCGTAGCTGAAACACACGCAGAAAAACACCAAGTGAAAGGCAATGGGCTGTTGTTGTTGTTATTGTGGTGGTGGTGTTTGTGTTGTTGTTGTTGTTGTTGTGGTGATGGTGGTGTTGGTGTTGTTGTTGTGGTGGTGATGGTGGTGTTGTTGTTATGGTGAGGTAGGTTGTTGTTGTTGTTATTGTTGTTGTGGTGGTGATGGTGTTGTTGTTGTTGTCATTGTTCCCGTTGAGGTATTCTTGTGGTTATCATGTTCGTTGTGATGGTGTTGATCGATCGATCTCTCTCTCTTTGTCTCTCTCTCTCTCTCTCTCTCTCTCTCTCTCTCTG